TTTTTTTTGTATTACAATTATAAGAAAATTTTCCGAATTACAAATCTGCTGTGTTTGTAATTTGGACGAATTAACAAGCAAATTTCTAATAAAATCGAAAAAGGTTTAGCACAAGGTTTCTTGCTTAATGAACCATGACAATTTACAGTGTTAACATATAATACATTCAAGAGCTTGATTATCTCGGCGCAGTATCTTTTTAACTTCAAAAATATTCCGTGCCAAAATTTCGATTTTAAGAAATATCAAATTTATCGGATATGCCGGAATTACAGAAACCGGCGAGTTCACTTTAGCGTACGCTCGATGGTTTCATTATTGTATTTTGATGCCTTTAGTCCGTTTCATAACTATTTTAGTCGTTATTATTGGTCTTTGTGTTTTAAGGAGGCTTCAAATTTCAAATAGCGTAATTCGATTGATCCCGCAAAAGTATTATTAGCCAGCATTAAGATTTCGACATATTTGTCAAAATTAATAATTCGAGAAACGTGCGAAACATAAGATATTGGATTGGTTGACTTCTAGTATTTCTTTATGCAAAGCAAATCATTATTGATCAACAGCTGATCATTCTCGACTAAAATCTCGAAATTTTTCGACCAATAAGAATGCTCATAAATGACATTTGGTTCTTTCTATATATTCTATTTCACCAAACCTCTTTCCTCCAACCTTCTATTAAAAAAAAAAATGTTCCCTCCACTTCCCACTGAAACATTTCGAGAAATTCTCAAGTATTTAGATTTCCGTTCTCTGGGTAGTTGTGTCTTGGTGAATAAATCATGGTTTATTAATGCAGTTGGTCTACTATGGCAAGATCCTTTTGAATCATTGAGTGAAGATAAGGAAATCATCTCACGGGGCCCAAAACTTATCCGAACTTACATATCATGTTTATCACTCACATCGCGAAAAAAACTTGAATGCTTTCAATTATTATCACCGGCCATCACTTCGAACAAAGCAACCATCATTTACGCGTCTCTCTTGGTTAACCTTGATTATTTGCTGTTGGTGTCATCGATACAACAGTGGATTAAAGTTTCGTTGGGAGAGAAGGATGCGGATAAAAATTTGGATCGAAAAGAAATGGAAAAGGAAGTTATAATAGAACTATGTAGTTTGTTTTTCCAGAAGTGCACAAATCTACGCAAACTCGGATTTCTTCCGCGTGGGTATACTTATATCTTTGCAGAAAATTATCTTCAGAATACAACATTTATTCGACTAGATGAACTTCCCAATGCTGAAAGTTGTTTGTCGCATCTGGAAGAGTTGAGATGTTTTGGTAAATATTTCCACCGTTGTTTCTTTCTTTCGCGCCTGTTCACTTGTCATTATTAAATCATCATGAATTGATCTTGATCTTCGACTTTCAGGCTTAACGCCTAATGAAGTTTTGTGCCGGATAGCAGAAATATCAAAGAATCTTAAAGTATTGGACATTCGAGATGGTGCGGAAGGCAACAAAGGGTTAAGGAATTTATTTGAAGTTCAAACTAATCTTCGGGAATTCACGATAACCACCACAGAACCATTGTCACTAATTTCAATATCTTTACGTAAAAAAGTACAAAATTTACGAAAGATCAACATATACTGTCATGATCACATACCCCTCGGGATATTTGAAGGTGTGACAAATATACAGGAGCTTACCCTATGTGATGATCTTCGATTTGCACCCGTGACTAGAGTAGACCATGTGAAGCAGTTCAATTCGAATCTCACGAAACTAGAAGTATTGGATTTGACCTTAAAAGATCGAAATCTTCTACAGATCTCATCCCTAATTCGTAAAACAAATGGTAGTTTACTTCAGGTTTCTTTACATTTTGGACGTCCCCTTGACTCCCAAAATTTTTCTGCCTTGACTAGCACAATTTCTAGCGCATGTCCCAAACTGAAACAACTGATCCTCCGTGTTCCTAATGACACCATTTCGAAAATACCATTGCTATTTACCTCGTGTACCTCACTCGAGTGTGCGACATTTGTTGGTGATTCTAGTGATATTAGTGAAACTTTGATAGAAATGGGTGTCAATTTACCGCGGAGTCTGACAACACTGTGCTTGAATCCCGAAAGATGGAAATATAGCGAGGAATCAATAAACTCTTTCCTTGAACATTGTGAAAAAAGATTAAAAGCTTTGCCGTTGAAATTTGCTCGAAGCAAATCAATGGTGAAATCAAAAGTTTTGGATTTGTATGTTGACAAAGGGGTTATAATAATCGTGTGACCAGAGTTTTGATTGAATCGATGAGGTCAGCAATTAGAAATTAATCACAAGAGTAAATTTTCATCTGGTTTAAAGGATAAATGGAATGG